CGTTGGATTCAATAGAGGGACATCTGATCAACCCCTGGTGCTGACACCAGTCTCTGACCTCCTTAATTAGTATTAAGGCTAAGCAGAGCAGGCGGACACTGCTGGACGGATGCGGGAGGGCCGCTGTGGCTTGCAGGCGAGCCCACACAGCGGGGCCTGGACCCCAGAGCTTGAATCCTCAGCCACTTACAACCTGGACACTCTGAAAAGTCACTTCTCCTCCCTGGGCCTCAGTTTTCCCCTCTGTAAAATGGGGACAATCAGTCCCAGATCCCTGAGTGTTTGCGAAGATTAATGAGGAGACAGAGCCCAGCTCATTCTGAGCACCTGGATGCAGTCACCCCTCTGAGCTGAGGTCACGGGCTCCAGGGTGTGGCTCCGTCCCCCAGATGAGGAGGAACACACAGTGGCTCCTGGCTGCTCACCAGATCCCTTTCCCTGGACCTTCTAAGTCAGAAAGTTCAGGGCAAGGGGACTCTGTATCTTCTTAGATTCCGCTGGTGACCCTCACGGGCTAAGACAAGTGGCTATGAAAGAGCTCAGGGTCAGAAGTCAGACACACCCGGGTCTGAAGCCTGGCTCTGCTTCTTACTAGCTGTGTGATGTCATAGACATTGCTGGACTCTGAGCCTCAGTTTCCTCATTTGTGGAAGGGGAATAATGATAAAATGTACAATATGGGATTATTGTCAGAGTCAAATAAGACATTGTATACAAAGCACTTAGAAAAGGGACTGACATGATTAACCTTCAGAAAACTATCATCACCACTATTATTATAGTTATTATTAGTAATAATTTATTACTAATAATTCATTCATTCACTCACTCATTCATTCATTCATCCCCACGCTCACTTGCCCCATCGCTTCAGCTTTCCCTTCTGCAGCAGATTCGAGAATCAAGAGAAAACACCAGTGTGGGGTGAGGGGCCGCAGTCAGGTCCGGGCCAGTCTTTGCTGCACGGACCATCTCTGACTCACCTCTGTCATTTTCTTTTGCAGAATTCACTGCTCTGGTGGCTGAAAGCTAAGAGGCTCTGACTGCCCAGGTCTTGTCCTTCTCTGCCCCAAACACCCGATCTCAGCCCCACTTGCTGCCCTCCTGCCTTTCTGTTCAGTTTGTTTATGTTATTTTTACTACCCCCGTCCCTTGTGGCCCTTGAAGGACACCATTCTTCTGGAAAATGATGGAGAAACAATAAAAGCTGCACCAATCAGATTCTGCTGTTTGAGAGGAACCAGGCCTGGTGGGGTGTGGCTCCTGCCTTGGCATTCCAGGCACACCTGCACGGGGATGGGGCAGGATACAGACAGAAAAGATGAAATGGAAGGGAAATTTACTGAGCCCCTCCTTGGCCTTTGGCCCGTGGGTTGCCCATTCATCCTTGAAACCACCCATAAGGTAGGTGATGAAACTCTTACAGATGCAGAAACTGAGTCTTGCAGAAAGTAATGTGTCTAAGCCCACACAGCTGGGACTTGTGGATGGTTGGATGGATGGATGGATGGATGGATGGACAGATGGATACTCATTAATACTCTTTTTGTTGCAAATGATAGAAATCCAACTCAAAGTAACTTAAGAAAACAAGGAAGAAAAAACAAAGACTTGGTTATGTTCCTGAATAGTCCAGGGGTAGGTAGATCTTCAGGAACAGCTGGATCAAGGAACTTAAGTGATTTCATCAGGATCAAGTCCTTCTTTCCCCATCTCTGAGCACTGCTTTCCTTTGTGCTGGATTCATTATCAGGCAGGTTCTCTCTCCTGATGGCAAGATTCCTCCAGCCGCTCAAGGTGTATATTCAGAATATCAGTTTAAAAAAAAAAAAAAAAAAGAGCTTCTCTTTTGCAATCACTCCATCAGAAGGCCCCAGATTTAATCCTATTAATACCAGTAGCTCAGGTTTACTGAGCACTTACTCTGCACCGAGCCCTTGTACATGATTCCATCTATACAACAACCCTATGAAGTGGGGACTATTATTCTCTCCATTGTATAGATGAGGAAACTGAGGCACGGAAAGTTACACGTTCACCCAAGATCACATTGTGAGTAAGTGGTGGGACCAGGACCCCAACCCCGCAGCCACATCCAGAGCCTGCATCCCTCCCTGGACCAGTCACAGCCACCTGAAGCATGGGAGCCCTGATTGGCCCATTCTGGAAGGTGCCCATCCATGGACACAGGCAGGGTCAGTGACACAGAAAGCTCAAGTCTGGAGAAGAGTAGGGGAGAAGGGTCCCCGTGGAAATCAGAAGAGGGGAGGGAAGCCGGGTGGGCAAGCATGGCAGCGGCCCTGCAGGATGGCTTCTGCTCTTCCCCACAACAGCCTTGGGGCGGGAACTGGAGCAGTGTTCTCCCCTCCCGTGTCATGTTTCCAGACCCCGTACCCAGTGGTGTCTCTTGACCCTTCCCCTGGGCCCTGAGGTGTTGCCCTGGGTGGGGCTGTCAGGGAAGGTTCTCACTGAGGATGAGGCCTGGGCAGGCAACCCACCAGCATCCAGGTTGAGAGGCAGGGATGGACCACCTTCCATGGTAGCAGCCAGACAGAGCCAGCACTCCCAGGCCTGGGAGGGGACTTAGGGCCAGAACCGGGAATTGGGCCAAAGCAGTGGCAAGCCCCGGAGGGCCGCCCTGGCGGGGATCAGCCTGGCACTAGGCCTCGGGGGCTGAGAAGGCAGCAGGTGAGCCAGAGGTCAAGTGGCTGGAAGTGGGCCTGCGTGAGCCTGAGCGTGTGAATACGTGTTAGCAAGAGACGGTGTGTATGAGCTGGTGGGTGTGAGGGCACGTGTGTGCACACGCGCTCGTGACAGCAGTCAGGACCAGGGCCGACCTGGGTTTCCATGTGAAGTCTAACGGGGCCCAATTTTGGACACTGAGGACAGGACAGATGAAAAGGGGCCGCCCTACGCGTGGCCCATGTGGATTACAGGAGAGGGGCTGGGGAGCCGGAGCGTCTCCCACGAGAAACCAGTACAGGGCCCCGCGAGAAGGACACGGGTCAGGAGTGGTGACAGCTGCCGCTGCCGCTGGTCTGGGGTGCCCTTCAGCGCGTCCCGCCCTGCACGCAAACGACAGCCCGCACATCACGATGCAGGCCCGGGGCGGCAGGTGTTGCGATCACCAAGCGCGTTTGTTTGACCTCATAGGGGACCCGGGACATTGGCTCCAGGGCCCTGTTTTGGAAAGGACTTGCCTAGAGCCTGGGCAGGACAAGGTAGGGGTACCTGGCGGAGGCGGGGGGAGCAGTGGTGCAGTCAGAGGAGGTGTCATGACAAGTAACACCCCGGCCATCAGTTGCCAAGTCCACCTCGTCCCTGGCGGCCACGCCTGACCATGGGCTTGGTAGGGGCCCTGCTCCACGGAGCCACGCGGCCTGGGTCTCACACTTGTGAAGAGCCTCCAATTAGCATTTTTGGCATCTCCTCCAGTGAGGTGATTCTGCCAGTCGCTGTTGGTAACTCAGGTTTGGCATTTTTATAAACGGGGCAGTTTACTGTATGACTTGGCTTCAACCAGGCTCTGAGAGACGCTGGTGGGAGCTGCCCCGGCCACTGGACCACTGCAGCGGCCTCCTGCCCAGTCTGCTGGTCTCATCTCCCACTCCCCGATCCATTCTCCACCCAGAGCCACCAAGGGCCCTTTCCAAAGCAGACCAGGTCACATCATTCTGCGTGAAACTACGCAGTGACTGCCCCTTCTATAGAATAAAATAAACCTATTTTATTTATAATTCTGTAATATATTTAAAATATATTTATAATAAAGTATTCTATAAATCATTTTATAAGATAAAAAGCCAAGCCCAGGGGCTTCCCTGGTGGCACAGTGGTTGAGAGTCCGCCTGCAGATGCAGGGGACACGGGTTCGTGCCCCGGTCCGGGAAGATCCCACATGCCGCGGAGCGGCTGGGCCCGTGAGCCATGGCCGCTGAGCCTGCGCGTCCGCAGCCTGTGCTCCACAACGGGAGAGGCCACAACAGTGAGAGGCCCGCATACTGCAAAAAAAAAAAAGAAACAAACAAACAAAAGCCAAGCTCAGCCTTCCCTGCCCCCAGGGACGGCCTGCCCTCCCTTTCCCCCACCCCATCCTCCATCTTTGCCTTCTCCCTCCAAGCTGGTCCCTCAGCCTGGACCATTCTACCCTCCCTGCCCTCCTCACCCCTCTTTCCCTGGCTCAGTCCTCTTCATCCTCAGGAAAGCCTCCTGGACGATGCCCCCAGCTGGGGTCAGAGCCCCTAAACTCTCCCCATCACAGGTGAAAAGGAGGGGGAGTATGACCAGCTAATTCACAGCCATGTGTCCCAGAGATCGTAAGATGCCGAGGGCATGTCTGTGGGGTTCCCTGCTGGATCCCAGGGCCTGGCACACAAAAAGGTGGCATGACGCAGATGTGGCCACAGAGGCCCAACGTGGCCAGTGACTCACTCAAAGCCACACAGAAGTGCAGAGCAGAACGGGGACTTGAACTTGGCTTTCCCACCCTGCCATCCAAAGGGTGCCTCATCCAAAGGGACCTTCTAACTCAGCAAGGAAGGAGGGGCACAGGGGAAGTCCTGCCTGCCCAGCATCCCCTGCCGTAGGCCGAATGTCACGCGCCTCTGACCACCCAGCATCCATCGCCCCAACACCTCGTCACGCTCTGAGCCCCCTTCCTCGTTTGCACATCAGCTGAACGTGACTCCTTTTCTTCATTGTTATGCTCAGAGGAGCCTCACTTGTGATCTCTGTCTCCCTTCTGTCTGGGACAGGCTGGGAGCAGGTAGGAGGGAGCTCGGGGCTGGGAGAGGAGCCGGCAAATGGGTTCCTGAGTGCTTTTTTTTTTTTTTTTTTTGCGGTACGCGGGCCTCTCACTGTTGTGGCCTCTCCCGTTGCGGAGCACAAGCTCGGGACGCGCAGGCTCAGCGGCCGTGGCTCACGGGCCCAGCCGCTCCGCGTTATGTGGGATCTTCCTGGACCGGGGCACGAACCCATGTCTCCTGCATCGGCAGGCGGACTCTCAAACACTGCGCCACCAGGGAAGCCCTCCTGAGTGCCTTTTGATAAGAGCGGGAGCAGCCTGCACCTGGGCAGAGAACTGAATGATGGACTGGATGGCCAAGAGCAGGGAAAGCATGCAGATGGTAGCGGGGTGGGGTGGGGGGAGCGAGGAAGGACCAGAGGTGGAGAAGGATGGATGGGGAAAGTTGGGGTTGGAGACGCTCTTCTCTTTCAGCCATGGACTTGGAGAATATGACTGTGCCAGGCTCCAGCTTTGGGGCTGGACAGAGCCTCCGTCCACATCTGCCTCTTCCTCCTTTGAGCACTTAATATGCGCCAGACGTTTTGTATATAATATACCACCTCTTAATCTACACGGTGACCCTGTAAGGAAGACAACAGGTGAAAAACACTAAGGTTCAGAGAGGTTAGGTAATTTGTCCGAACCACACAGCTAATAAAAATGAAAACAGAAAATGAAAATTGAAAACACTTATTCATCCATTCAACAAATGATTCTTGAATGATTACTTGTGCCCTGCCCAGCTAAGCACTTTAGAAGCATTACCTTGTTAAATCATCATAGTAACTGGGAGAACTCTTCCCAAAATGTTCAGTCTCCTGGCTTTGTCTCCTACAGTAAAGATGCTGGACCCCCAGTGCCCTGGCTGCCACTCTACGGGGACATTAGCCCACTCTACAGGGCTTATATAGGAATCAGGACGTCATTTGTGAAGAGCGGTTCAGAGTGGGACTCTCTGCCCATTCTGCACCTTTCTCCATTGGAGCAGCCAGCCTGGACACCAAACTGCATCACAACGGGCCCTCACCTGTATACCTCTGTTTCTGCTCTTCCTGTACCTTCTCAGGGAAGCAGTAGAAGATGTATCTGCACGTGGGGCTTTATGGGGATCCGCTTTGAGGCTCCCAAGGGCCGAGGGCAGGCTGCCGCATGTGTAGTGGCACCCAAGCCAGATAACCCTCATTATCCCTATTTTGTAGATGAGGAGATGGAGGAAAGTATCTTGGCTGAGGCTGCAGGACCCACTTGCTTGACCCCCCTCACTCACTTTTCACCTGATGGGGAACAGAACCAAGATTCAAACCACAAGGGACCTAGATCCAGAGCTAGAGCCCACGTTTTTCTCCTGCTTCCCCTACATCCAAACCTGAGGAGGGACTGGGTTCATTTTGTGTGATTCTGCAGGCACAAAACCAGGACCCACCAGGGGGATTTACAAGGCAACAACTCTTGACTGAACCTCAGGAAGCCCTGTCTACCCTTCGAGCTGCTGGGCAGTAAAGCCGGCTGTCCTGTGTGGCAGTGAGCATCCTGTCATGAGAGGCATGCAAGTGGAGAGGAGGGAACAGGCTGAAAGAAGTCATGCATCAGCAGGAGAGTTCCCTAGACACAGCGTTCCTTCCAACTCTGAGATGCTGTGACCTAAGCCGACTTATGGGGCATTAAAAATCCTCTTAATCTCATGCTGGCTGCTTGCTACCTTGTTAAAGCAATCATCCACTGGATATGTATTGAGCACAGATGTCAGGCGGGCGGATCCAAAGAGGGTACCATGTCCTAGAGAAGCAGAGAAGTTTCCAGGTTGCTCTTTTTATTTTCTCCCTCCCGACCTGACCCAGTGTTCAGAACGCCACCTCGGGAAGGTGACGTGCCGATGTCACCAGGTCCCTTGCAGATTTCTGCTGTCCCTTTGATGTGCTCACCACCTCCTGGCCCTGGTGCTGACTCCCACTAACGGCACGGCTGCCAGATACAGCTACGCCTGATGCCACTCCACAGGGCTCGCCTTGGCCCCTCCCAGAATGCTCACATCCTGGCCCCTCTCTCCCTCGGCGCCAGGCCTTGGTTCAGGAAGGAGGCTGCTGCAACACCAGGAGGGACGAGGTTGAGAAAATTACGGGCCATCCACAAGCACACTATAGTGTGTCCTTTAAACTAGATATTGTGGATTTTCCATAATAACATGGGGAGAGATCTGTGATGTGAATTTTAATTGCTTACAGGCAATATATTATATTATATTATTATATTATATTATATTATACAGTAAGTCCCCTATATACAAATGAGTTTCGTTCCAAGAGTGCATTCGTAAGTGCAATTTGTTCGTAAGTCCAACAAAGTTAGCCTAGGTACCCAGCTAATACAATCGGCTATGTAGTCCTGGACTGTAATAGGTGTATAATACTTTTCACACAAATAATACATAAAAAACAAACACAAACAATAAAGAAAACACTTAAAGTCTTACAGTACAGTACCTTGAAAAGGACAGTGGTACCAGCTACATCACCTTTGCTTTTACGTTTGCTTCTGGACTTCCTGGGCTTGAAATAAAGATACTGCACTCTATATAGTACTGTACAGTAAAGTACACAGAAGCACAGCCACTTGTTGTCAGACGCATGCACCCGACAATGTACGCCAGACACGTGAACTAACTCACATGACTGGACATTCAAACGCGCATCTTTGAAAGTTCGAAGCATCTTTGAAAGTTCAGAACTTGAAGGTTCATATATAGGGGACTTACTGTATCATATTATATTATATTATATTATATTATACTATAATTTGCTTACTCATCATTATAGTTGCCTACTTTTCACTAATTCTCACCTCTTTCTTTCTATCACAATCCCATTTGGGGGCAGGACAGCAACGTACCCTGAGAAAAATACCTGACCTGGGGCCACGGTTTTGGTCTATGACATATAAACAGACATCCCTGGGTGAGGCTTGCAGGGAAGCTTCCGGAGAAGCAGATCCCCTTAATCTTTTGGCCTTTGCCTTCCTCCTTCACCCTGTCTAGGATGCAGCTTTGGTGTCCAAAGACAGAGCTGCGTTCTTACGACCATGGAGATTAAAGACGCAGCTGGTGACAGTGCCATCAGAAAGCTAGGAGTCTGGTCCCTCATGGCTCCTTGAAGCCATCATACCAGCCTGGAAGCTGTCAACCTTGAGAGTGCTTGTGACAGGAAGGAAATAAACCCCTATTGGTTAAGTTGCTGTGGTTAGTACATGCAGCAAATATAACTCAAACCAATGCAATCATAATTAAAGAAAATTTGTAAAATGTAATGTAGTGGGTTGCATGTCCACTTGGAACCACTGAATGTGACCTTATTTGGCATAAAGGTCTTTGCAGATGTAATTAAGTTAAGGGTCTCGAGATGAGATCATCCTGGATTAGTGTGGGCCCTAGATCCAATGACAGGTGTCATTATAAGAGACAGAAAAGGAGAAGATACACAGGGAAGAGGCAGGCTGACGTGAAGACAGAGGCAGAGGATGGAGACCTCTGCAGTCCCTGGTTGCAGCCAAGGATGCCAGCGGCCACCAGAAACTGGAAAAGGCAAGGAAGGATTCTCCCCTAGAGCCTTTGGACGGAACATGGCCCTGCTGACACCTTGATGTCAGACTTCTGGCCTCCAGAACTATGAGAGAATAAATCCCTGCCATTTGAAGTCACCAAGTTTGTGGTCATTTGTTATGGCAGCCCCAGGATGCTAATACATACAGAAAAGTAGGTGCCATAGAAAATGGGACACCTAAGCTGGGCACTTGAAGGATAAATAGAAGTTCATTGGTTAACAAAGAGGAGAAGGGCCTTCCAGAAGGACGGGCGGCAAACTATAATGATAATGTCAACAGTAGTGAGCACTTCCTCTGCTGCATGCTTTGCATCTCCTTTCCCTAACGAGTATTGTTATCCGTTTTTAACAGATTGGGAGACTGAGGCAGAGACAGGTTAGAGGAGTGTGGGCGGGGGCAGTGGTCACAGCGGTTATTGCAGTGCCCTCACCTCTCCCCCTGAAGACCCGAGACTCGCAGTCCAAGGGGTTTTGGTTCCTGGCTGTGGACGTCCAGCCCCCGCACAGGGCAAGGCGGATGTGTGGAGGGTAACAGCTGTGCAGTTCCTACCAGTGCCGGACGGTGGGGTGGATAAGAACTCGCCAGCTCCCTCAGCCGAGCTGGGGTGACTGCAGGCATGCTCCACGCAGCGTCCCTGAGTCCCCAGGGGGCTGAGCTGCCCACAGCGGCAGGTGGCTTAGTGCTGAGCCCTCCTGGTTCCTCTTCCCTCCCTGTCTCATGTCCCCACCCCCCGAGTGGTACTTCTGGGAATCTGTCCTTGGTCAGGGTCTGCTTCTGGGCAAACCCCAAACCAAAACAGTGTTGGAGTTGGGCTTCCCTGGTGGCGCAGTGGTTGAGAATCCGCCTGCCAATGCAGGGGACACGGGTTCGAGCCCTGGTGTGGGAAGATCCCACATGCCGCAGAGTAACTAAGCCCGTGCGCCACAACTACTGAGCCTGCGCTCCAGAGCCCACGAGCCACGACTACTGAAGCCCGTGAACCACAACTACTGAAGCCCACGCGCTTAGAGCTCGTGCTCTGCAACAAGAGAAGCCACCGCAACGGGAAGCCTGCGCACCGCAATGAAGAGCAGCCCCCGCTCGCCACAACTAGAGAAAAGCCCGCGCGCAGCAATGAAGACCCAACGTAGCCAAAAAACAAAACAAAACAGAACAAAAACCATCCCTGGTTTATCTGACCCCAGAGCCCCAGCTCAGATCCACTACAGTCCTCTGCCCTATGGGATAGATAAATGATGGGTGTCCCATATTTAGGGACACAAATTAAAAAGTAGCTGGCTATCTGCCACCAAGAGCAGGATGCAGCAGGGAAGCAGCAGCTAAGGGACCAGCGCGGAAGCTGCTCTGACTGTGGAGGCCCTTGAACATTCTAGCATTTTCTGTATTCACTGTGGTCCCCGCAGTGCCAACTTGGATGTGCTCCAGCAAGAAGCCGGCCCCTCTCTTACCACTCCAGCTTCTCCAGGTCCCGGGCCACTTGTCACCCTCTCCTCTAAATCTCACACCTGTTAACTCTTGAGAAATGAGCAAAGGGCAGTCAGTCGGGCAGAGCGCTTCAGAGACTATTCTGGGTTGGCTGCGAGACTTGCAGGGTGAGCCAGGGTCAGATGAGAAATTGCTACGCCGCAGTCTTGCAAAATTCAAAGCTTTTTGCTGGAGCGGAGGGTCAGTTATTGGAAGGCTTCCTGCATAATCACCACAAAAGGCCACCTTGTCAGCGTCGCTGGAGAGATCATCGCGGATGGTCTGCACAGCAGGCCAGCCCTTTCTTGGCTTTGGGAAAGATCCTTCAAGAAGGTGAATGACATAGAGGAAATGAGGGCCAATTCTTCTGCCACCATACACGGCTTCAGTGGGCCTTTATTCCCATCTAAAGGAAATCGCCTTCGTTTTTTGGGTTTCTTGCAAGGGAAACTTCCTAGGCCCAGGAGAGGGCAGAAGTACATTAAAGTTATTCATTCATTCATTCATTCACTAATAACAGCAA